GTTGAACAAACAAGAGATATAGCCAATGAAATCATGACCAAATATGGTAGGACATTGAATATTTTACCACTTTATGAATACTATTATGATAATAGAAGAGACAATTCCTCAAGAGGATGATAGTACAGTAGTACAACCACAGGAGGCAGTAGGTAGTAATGAAGATCATGCTAGTGATATATTGAGGAATAATTACAGTGCTCTCTCTCAGTCAATTACTGAACCAGTTCATGTGGCAAGGTTGCTTCATGAAGAGGCTATATCTGATGAGGCTCTGTCTTGTGTCATATCTACCAGAGGTTCTGTGTCTGACAGTAGAGCAGTTCTCCTCAAAGCTGTACGAGATGCTGTTCACTCCAATTACAAACACCTGGAGTTGTTTGTTACTGTATTGAGGAAGTTCTCAGAGACTGCTCATATTGGAGATACCATCTTTGAAGAATATAGTAAGTTCAGTTATAATTACTTTGAAAATTGTAATCATATGTTTTATACAGAAGCACTATTTCCAGAAGGTAAAATGATTTCTGAAAGTCGCTGTCGTCTCAAAATTTTTGACCACTTAAGTCCTGAAGGTACAATTAAACTGATAATTTTTGGTTATAGTTATTTTCATAGAAGACATCTTATCAGCATCTTCAGTCACAGTTGGAGGTCGGATTAATTTTGTTACATTATATATTATTGTGTTTTATTAGGACCAATATACATGTATTTGCCATTAAATAAGGATCAAGAGTTTAGCTTGTTGAGGTGTAAATTTGGTTCAGCATTCTTTGCTGCAAATTGTGCCATTCAAAGAAAAAATATCAATCCAGATCAAATGAGGATGTTACTCAGTGATTGCTTTCCACATAAACCAGAATTCTCCAACAAACATTTCGAAACAACTAATGATATTCTTGACGCAGTAAAGAGGAACTGTAATCTCATTGACATTAATTGTCTGGAAGTTATTGTGAAGCAATTTAATGTCTCAGAAGCTTTTGATCCTCTTGAAGCATACAAGGCTGAGGTAGAAGAGTTCTGTAAGGTGCTACGAGATGAGCTTAATGAATCGCTGGAAGTTGTGAGAAGTCCAAGACCTCTTTCTCGAGAGACCATTGTATTGGTTCTTGATCAAATCCCTCTTACCTGCACTGTGTGTGATATTAAAGATATAGTGCAAAAAGCCTTAGGGGTTCACATTGGAGATGTCCGTATTATGAGTGTCAGTGATTCACATTTTATTGCTATCAAAGATGAATCACCTGATGATGACACATCAAGTACACAAACAAATAAAATGAATATTTATTATATTAATAATCATACAGGTAGTGAAGACACTGTAATGGAACCTGATGATAAATCACTAACAGTAAATTGTGAGTTAATTACAATATTTGAATTTGCTATTGTATATACATTGTAACTATAATGATACAACATAACCCACTGCATCATATCAGCATAGATATTAGAGTAAATGAAAGGGATTGGAAACTACCGTTCCCACCCGGTGATGCGGGTTTCGTCACCCCTGGTTACCTGGTTGGCAACGTTCGTGTTTATCTGTATCCCCATCTCCTCCATAGTGGTTGCTGTGCAGAAAGGATTTCGAAGGAATATTGTGCGACTATTAGATAGCGCTTGCTTATGATATACCTTCTGTTCCACATAGAAAGTTTACGGCTACCTATAGCAGGGTTTTTGTTTCTATAGAGCTATTTTGCGACCAGTTACGGGTACACAAAGTTGGCACCTTTTTGACACTTTTTCGCCTCTACAGCTTTCATGCTTTTGCTATTCTGGTGTTGCCTCATATCATTCCATAGGTAATTGAAAGTTCTTTTATATTCTGACAAGCTTTTTAGAGTTTAGCTACAAATGTCTTCATTAGAGGGAGAAAATAGCAATTTTATGGTATAACACTCAAAATATTAATTTAAATATACCAAATAAATAATAATTAACAGTGCAAAACATTGAACTCCTTGATAGTCGAGTTTCTTTTTCATCAGAGCACTCTTCTTGGAGTTATTCTAATTTTAATGGAAAAAATCACGAATTTTGTGGTCAAAAAGTAACAAACCGCCTAGTCAGCAATTTTTTTGCTTAGCAACAATACAATCAAATGGCATTATTGCTATGCCCACGCGGAAGTTTCCAATCCCTTTCATTTACTCTAATGTCTATGATGATATCAGTGTTAGTCTCATGCCCGCCCCTTTGGAGCTAGGGGATGAGCCTATATCAGTGTGTGTATATAGGCAATAATTTAGGCTACTAATGGAGTAATGATACTAATGGAATCACTCAAGACCAATAATACACTAAGGGCACTTTAGCTAGACAAACAACAGGAAGAAGCTTGTTCTACTTA